TTTTTCCTCGCATTTCCAATTTTAATAAGTTTTTCTCAAAATTATTAAATTTTATTTCTGTTTGGAGTAAGAAAAATTTTCTAAATTAAAAAATCATGTTGAAGGAAGTTACATTTCGATAAAATGTTGAAAATCTGGAAGGAACCTAAAACTAGGTCTGAACTTGAGAAACATTGGAAAGTTATCCAAAATCTTTCTGTCTCATATCAAAAGGATACATTTCGAGCTATTTTAGAGGTTTTTGTTACCTCGTTGATTTTCTTCTAAAACTGCTTGAAAAATAGGATTAATAAGAAAATATTCTAAGTCCACAAAACTGAAGGCTTTTTCGAGGAGTTTTGAAAAATTTTCAAGTCACTAACACTCAAAACTACTCAAAAAATAGGTCTGACAAGAAAATATTCCAAGTCCACAAAACTGATGGCCTTTTCGAGGAGTTTTGAGAAGTTTTCAAGTCCCTGACACCAAAAACTGCTCAAAAAACAAGAAGTGGTCAAAAAATATTCTAAGTTCACAGGTTGAGCTCCAGATTCCCCCAGAATTACTCAAAAAACAGGAATAAATAAAGAAAATATTCTAAGTCCACGAGACCAAGATAAGCTCTCAAAACCCCAGAATTAGTTGAAAAGAGAAGTCAAGAAGAAATTATTTTAAGGCCATAACACTAAATGAGCCTCTTAGATTTCTCCCAAAAATACTCAAAAAATAGAAAAATAAAAGTCTTGATAGGTCAAGTCATCGCACAATCCAAAAGCGGTTACCAGTAGTCATCAACATTTACCACTAGGCAAAGGAGATCATGGGCACTAGCGGTTACGAAAGAAGCCCCAACCAACAGCACGATCACAAGCAATCGTGGATAATGGGTATTAACAGTTGAAGGTAGTTATTAAGAAGTGCCCGCGAAAGGAGAAGAACGGTGGTGGTCTTCCTGCCTATAAATACTCCAAAGCATCATTTTACAACGGATGACTTTTTGCACCCTGACACCGCACCTAAATTCTCTGAAACGTTGAAACCCTGCACCGCGCCAGACACCAATTACAAGGAGACTCACGGTGGCCGTTGTTCGCTGTTGAGAGGAGTTATACGTTCATATTCATGCACCTTTACATTTCTGCACATTTACCTTTCTGCATTTTAATTCTAGCTTGTTGCTTATTTTGTTTCTGCGATTTGTTTCCTATTTCGTACTTTTCTGTAAAAAAATTTTACGTTGTGATTCAGTTTTACACGTTTCATATTCACTACTCTTGCTAAATTGTTTAATTTGCGACGTCCATTTTACTGTTACGTTAACAACACACTTAAAAGAACCCAAAGGTGACCTAATCCAGTCCCCAGATTGATCTTTGGATTATTTGTTTAGAAAACTGTCATTTTTCACCGTAAACAAATTAGCACGCCAAGTGGGACTATATTTAGTGTGTTTTTGAATGATTGATTATTTTGTTGCATGATATTACGTAGCGGACGTTGTATTATGGCTAATAGAGGAAGAAATAGTGATTCTAGTTCTGGGAATGATAATTCTAGGAATGATGGGAGTACTACAAACCCAGAAAATGTAAGTGGCAGTGTTACTACTGCCGCACAACCCACACCAACGACGGCGTTACCTACGCTGTCATCCCCCGTAGTTAGCCAATTTATGGCCACTATACCAACCAATCCCAACATAAATCCTAGCCCAAGGCCAAGGTTGGGTGATCAGCCATTCGGCCTGCCTATTGTGTGTATGTCGCCCATCTTTGGAGTACAAACCTACTCCAACCCTGTGGTAACAACCGTGTCATCCCAAAGTCACACCATTCCATCAGAAATGGCTGTGGTCCATACCATTCCACCGAGAATGGGTACAATTGGTGGAATACCAAGAGTGCAATTTTCGTTTGGAGCTTCGAGTGGGGAATCACTTCCTGCTAGCTCGTTTTCAAATGTTGCCTTACATTCTATGAGGCAACAAATGGATGAAAGTAATCACGAGATGGTTAATATGCTGACCCAGCAGATGACCACTGTGTTGAATCCCATAGTGGAAACTACTAACAACAGCTATTAAGTTTTGGCTGAACAGATGCGTCGAATTACTGACGTCTTTGGAGCGCCTCAAGTCCCCACGAGGTAAGGGCAAAATGTTGCCCAAATGCCTAATTAAGATGCCACAAATTTTGATCGAAATGGTCAAATTTTCGAGCAAAATGGTAGGAATTATGGCCCAAACCTTCCAAGAAAAAATGAGGGAAATTGCCAAGTAGACCAACCCCCAATTTTTGCTCGAAATCAAAATGCTCCAGTTGAGCAAATTGGTCGAAATTTTGACCAAAACTCTCTGAGACAAAATGAGGGTGATTTCCAAGTAAATCAACCCTTTATTATTGCTTGAAATCAGAATGTTGATGAAATACTCGAGCAAATTAGGCAAAATCATGTAGGGGGCATCAAATTCAATATCTAAACAACCTGAATCCTCAAAATATTGTCAATGTTGTCGAACAAGTGTTGAACCAACATGGGTTCGACGTAGGGTATGCAAATAGACCCTATTTTGTCTCAGCATTTTCTGAGACAATTTTGCAGGCTGAATTGCCTCGAGGCTGGAAAGTCCCAAAATTCTCAAAATTTGCCGGAGAGTCCGGTGAATCCACTATTGAACATATAGCCTTTACTTGGTTCACAACTTTGCCCCCAAATTCAATTCATAATTGGAATCAACTAGAAAGAAGATTTCATGAACAGTTCTTTCGTGGTGAAACAAAAGTTAGCTTAATGGATTTAGTCAATTTAAAAAGGATGCATAATGAATCCATTGATGATTATCTAAGTAAATTTCGACAAATGAGATTGAGATGTTTTACGCAAGTTCCAGAATATGAACTAGTCCAAATGGTTGTAGGCGGATTAGAATATTCGATTAGAAAGAAATTGATTAATCAGCAGCTAAGAAATATGTCGCAATTAGCGACAAAAATAAGGCAAATCAAGCAACTTAAGGCTAAAAAATCTATGCGTCAACTCGATCGAAGTCTTAAATATATTTTCAACACGTTAACAGGACCGTACTCTTTAATGAGGTAAATTCCTACTGGTACTAATTATTAGTAGCTAACGCACTCCTTTTCTTAAACTAAGGTTTGCTTATCCTTTGAGTTTTTAAATGAAGTTTTAATGTCCCATGTCCTTAAGAATATACAAAAAGAGTGGTATGTTTATTAAAAGGTAAATGTCCATTATACATTATTTCATCTTGATCTGATGATAACTTAATTAGCATCTGATTGATATTTAGTTATAGAGAAATTATTTATCCTTTCAGAATTTTAGTTTTAGTCATCTCATCTTTGTGTTATAAATTTTTCTATTGGTGTCATGTAATTCACATTTTTTCTGGTAATTAATTATATTTTTATGCTTATGTGTTCTTGATCACTTGTGTTATTTATTATTAGAGAAAATGTTAAAATTTCCCCTAAAAAATAAAAAAAATATAGCCATGTAGGAGATATTTTGATCTTTAAAAATGATCATATAGTTATTTAAAACAGTATAATGTGCAATACTTTAGTCTTTTCGTATGTTTGAAATAGTAATTATATGGATCGATTTGGGCTATCAATTATTTGTCAAGGATTAGGTTGATGCACGATTATTTATTTTAGGAATTGATCATGTGTTTAATGAAGAAAAATAATTTAAAGATTAAAGTGTTCTAAATATATAATCTTGAGGGACTAAATGATTAATCTTTGGCCCCTGAAAATGTTTCTTTAGCGTTAAAATATGATAAAAAGAAATAATGTTGTCCAAAACAAACTTTTTGTTGTGTACTTTATTTTTTTGTTGTGTCAATGAAAAAAAAACTATTAAGAGATAATTTTTTAAATAAATTTTATATATTAAAATTATTGTTTAATTATTGACAAAGAATAAGGACATTGTAAAAATAGTATAATTTAAAAGTACGTTTTATATCATTATTGCGTAAAAATACTATAATTTACAAAATTTAACATGTTATAAGTGTTGTAAAGAATACTAAAAATCTCGTTGAAGCATCACCTTAAGTAATAACAAAACATGTTGAGTTAATTTTGTGAACATAAAAATATTTTACAAAACTAATTACATAAATGTGATTTCTAATGTTCAAAATATAGAAAAGTATTCATTAACTTAATGAATAAGCGAGAAATAGTAGTCTTAAAGAATCCTGATCACATACATGTAAAGTTTGAGGCATTGCAGCTGTCCAAAGGGTGAACTCATCATCATAGCATCAATTATTTGAGACAAACTTTCGCACCCTGTCACGGACCATGCCGTCTGGGACAAATCCCAAATTTAGTTTCGATTTTTAATGTACTTATGATGATATATAATAAAAATTTAATAAATAGTTGATTCAATTTTAATAATAAAGGATAAAACCCAAATACCTTATGAAATGCGTATTTCCTTTTCATTGGACTAGCCTTTTTATCGCGCAGCCACACAAAGCAAGCCACTGCTCAAACTAAACTTTTTTTCATCACAGCTTAAACTAGTCCAAGAAAAATACTACTGGAACAAACAATAGTTAAAAATGTCAGTACAAAGTCACTTTCGATATGTTTTGCTTAGTAAATTATACAGAATAAAAGTTACTGGGAAAGCTTAGAATATCAATCGAGATGAGTGGAATAGAGGAGTATGCATATAATAATCTAATTTCATTGTATTTCCCTTTGCTGAACATGTTTTATTTTCATTTATTTATCTTGATTTCCGTACCCAGATCTTCCATATTATTGACACAAAACTAAAGGGAGGCATCATGTGTCCAACTGTACACCATTTCTCATTTCACACCACCCAATCAATCAGTTTATTCTACAATCTACCCCAATTTATTGTCCCATACCCAGGGTTCCAACTATGAGGCCATGGGATCTCAATGCTAGTTAGATTACTTTATTCACTCCACCATGTCTTGTGGCTCTCAAATGCGAACACCTTTTCAATTAATTCTTTATTATTATTGTTATCTTCTTAATATTATTTTGCCGTTGACACAGAGGCCCCTTTTCAGTAATCACATGCAGTAAAAGGTAAACAACATAAGTAATAGAAAAGCATAATATATTAAGAATAAGAAACATGACATAAAAAATTTTACAACACAAGCTGTAAATGCTGAATATTCCTATTATCCTACCCAACTTTTCCCACCCAAAACTATACCGACAACCCCTTCCAGCTGTGAAACTCTTGCGGTTGCGGTTACACTCATCACACTCACGCCGCCACACCAACCTCTCCCTCCCACCAAACTTCCACATTTCCCGATTTACCGTGTCATTTCTAATTATTTCATATTTTCCCCAATTCCAATATTCCAAACTAGTCCCTACCTCCATTGCCTCTTCTACCCTCACTACAACGCGAAATTCGCCATTTACCCTTTCTCCGTCGTCCGAATTTACACCATCACACGCTCCTGCGGTTGTTGGTTCCGCGTGGGACGCAATTGCCCTCACCACTACCCAACCCTGTGTTTCCCAATTTACCCTTGACCCCGTCGCTAATTTACATATCCTGTTATTTACCGAATCTTCTTCACTGTTCAGTTTCGAATTCGGTATCATCTTTTCTTCTTCTTGCTCACACTCGTTATCTGACTCCGCGAACTCCGAGTCAACCCAGTCCAAAACGCACCGAGGCGACGATTCCACAGAGTAGTTGTAGGGAAGTAAAAATGGATGCTGCAGCAGCTGATCACAGCTCCACCGTTTATTCGGTTCCCTTCTTAGACACTTCTCGAGAAAATCACGACCTACCTCCGATAACACGCTCGGAAACTCCGGTAACTCGTTCGAGTAGCCGATTCGACTCAGCGTGTCGACGCCGCGATCCTCCCACGCCGGTTTTCCGGTAACCATCTCGATCACCGTGCATCCAAGCGACCACACGTCGGATTCCGGTCCCTGATACTCCCGGCGAATTACCTCCGGCGCCATCCACATCGGGCTTCCGCGCGGAGAGGCCTCGCCGGAGAAATCGACCGCGGCGCCGAAGTCAGCGAGCTTGGCAACGGAGCGGTCGCCGGCGACGAGCACGTTCCTCCCTTTAACGTCGCAGTGCACGAAACCGCGCGCGTGAACGTGTCGCAGGGCGCTCACGAGACACCAAGCGTAGCGTCTAACCAATCGTTCGTCCACGTCAGCATGGTCCAGGTCAGCGACGGTGCCACCTGGCATGTACTCCAAGTGAAGATTCCGGAACGACGACGTTGCGCCCTCCTCGCACGTGACGTCGGCGCCTAGAAACGCCACCACGTGAGGCGAAGACACGCGCTGAAGTATCCGAATCTCGTTCTCCAACGCGTCGAGCTGAACCGTGAGCCCCGTTTTGCGATCCACGGACTTCACCGCGAAAACGCGACCGTCTTTTTTAGAAACCGCTATGTTTACGATGCCAAACGCGCCCTTACCGATGCACTTGCCTCTAACCCACGAAGCCATTGCAAAGTTTAAACTTCAAATTGCGCTCTGTGTAATTGACATTTGTGTGTGGCTTTCTTGAGGGCCCTAATGGGGTATATATATAAACGTGGTGCGTGTTTGTCATAACATTCGGTGTTTCGTGTTTTCTATTTTTTTTTATATAAAAAAAATTGCTTTTATGGTACAGCGTGGCATTTGTGAAAGTGGATAATTAAGAAAAGCGGTGGCGACGTTGAGATGGAGATCCCATATAGTTAGTGGCAATGTTTTTGACGTAAACGAAGGATTGCGGGAATGAGGTACTCGACACTGTTTTTTTCTTACGGGGTGGGATTTCAATCCTTATCCATATCACTTGATCATTCAGCTTTCTCTTGTCACTGTAACATTTTTATGCCCCAAAACTATATTCAACTCGGTTCATTCCAATCAAATAGGTGTAATCTATAATTTAATTAAACTAAACGGTTATTTTCTCATGAATGAGTATTGATCCAAGTAAACAAAATGGGTAGCATCATTTAAAAATTGGTTGAGACGGGGTGTTCGGTTTTTATTAATTATTACCCTGGCAGGGTTCATTTTTTTAGTTATGCTTTGTCCTGTAGCGTAGGAATATTAATTTGAACATGTGGTTGTAGTGGGGAATGTGGGCTTTGTAGTTGAGAGGTAGATGTTAATAGTTGGCAAAGGGGAACATAACACGGTGGTGGTAGAGGGAGAGTAAAATGGAAGTGGATGGGGAAAGACCCACGTGGCACAAATCTGTTGGTCCACGAAGTTGTGAAGACAGTGCTAGAGGGTGGTAAAGGAGATGCGGAGATGTCTCGAGTTGGCCATGATGCTTCTGTGTGGCTTTAGTCAGAGTGTTCAGTTAAACTACAATTCTGTGACGTGCACCACCGCAACACCATTAGATATTATATTATTATGTCATTTTTTTATTATTTTAATTTTTATTTGGTTGTAAATTAGGAAATTTTGTTGGCATGTGAGGTTTGGACTTTGGTCAGGACCCCAACCCCAAATCTAGTCGTATCTTTCAGATGATGTTCGTGGGATGTTCTCTCTTGTGTTGGGCAAATTGTTGGGACAATTCGACACGCGGTTATTGGTTTCCTCATTAAGTATGTGGCACCTGGTATTACCATATTTGAGCTTTCTCTTGGTTTATAAAGATAATATCTTACCGTAAATTGCTTTGCCTAATTCAGCCTAAATTATAAAAAGAAAAATTCACCAAATCCCAACTTCAATTTAGTGCAATACTTCACCTTAAACATCTAAATGATTGCAATTGTGGAAAGAGTTTTTTTATTTTATAAATTATTAGCTTATTTTTTCGTGTATGCAAACTAGAATTCAATGTGCTTGTTTAGAACTCTTGTTGCTGCGCCACTTGTCAGCGTGCGAATGCATGCGAGGGGCTTTAGAATTGATTTTGACCGAATGAGATTTTAAAATTGGACAAAGCGTTACGGAAGGGAAACGAGGGAAAGGTTTGTCCACATAAACATGACTTTTGGCATGAGACTAGATACACAGAAGAGAAACAAAAACGCTTGAAAGGGAAATTAAGGATATTAAATTCCCATATGATTATTCATTTTATTTTTACCCTTAAATTAATTAAAAACCTTTTTAAAAGCAACAACTAGAATAAAATTGGAGTTCTAGAACGTTGCCATTTGGCTTGCAAATGGGTGCCCAGCAGCAGCCAAGTGACACAACACGGTGGTGGTGACTACTCCCAAAATATGTGGCAAGATTGTAAAGGAGGATAAAGTGACGCGTAGGAATGGTTTCTTAGTAGTTTCAATTTAGATCCTTTCACACTAAGACACGAATGAGAAGAGTGGAATATATTAATGTGGTGTGCTTACTCGGTGACCTACTTGGTTTGGATAAGGTGGTGACTATGAGGGTTAAGCAACGTGCTTCATGACTTGACCTGCATATTGCCGCAAGGCATGTATTTATGTGACGCGGTGTGTCGTGTCCACATCTTTTCCAAACCATATTGACCACCACCAAGAGGTAAATTTTGTAATATATTATACTATATTATAATAGTTCCAAGTGGGTAAAAAGGATATAGAATAGGTCATTGGTGGTGGAGAGTTAAAAGTATTCATCATCTTAAGCATAATTATTATTTTTAATTTTTAATAAAATATGTAGTGACTTAAGTTTCTTTTTTGATCGAGTTATTTTCCAATTTTTGTATGATAAAAATTGTATCTCTCTAGAATTAATGAATTAACAAAGTTTTATTGAATTAACTGATTCATATTATTGCAACTAAATATAATTACCACAAAATAATATATACAAATAAGTTGAAATTATAATCAATCTAGTTTACCACTTAGGTATGAAGATTACATGAACATAGAATTCATGTTTTTTTTCTTTGAAAAACAATATCCTACCCACTCCTAATATTTCAGACCATGATATACAATCTAATTAAAAAAAAAAAAGACATGCTCATCGTATTAAAAAAATTTAAAACACTAAATAAATACCCTTAAAAAATAAAATACAAGAAAGGTGTTTTTACATAAAAGATAAAACGCCTAAGTTTTTAGTAAAAGCAAATAAAAGAACTATTTCAGTTTACATCCGTTTAACTTGTAAACGAGTTCGTAAAAAACAAGTTGGATAGATTAGCTTCTGATTTAAATTAGTAAATTTCTCATGTTATATATATAATGTAAAAAAAATTACATTATCAATAATTAAAAAATATATTTAATATAATTATAAAAAATAAATTTTAATTATATATTAATTTTAATTTTAATTAATTGATAATGAAAAATATATTATAATTAAATTTCATGTTCACATGCCCTTTCTCAAAAAAAATTGTTAGAAGTTGCGAATCGGATTTTCCTTCTTATATAATTATGAAATAAAGTGATAATAATGATGTCAAATTCTAAACTACGACGTTAAATTTTTCATGTTTTACTTTCATAAACTTTCAACAATAAGTAATGCAACATTTTCAACTCTTTTTTTGTACATATTAATGTCAAGCACATTATCATTTTTTCTTTTTTTGTCAATTCAAATAATTTATGGCACACTGAGCAGTAAAAGTTGAGTAAAACTCAGGTACATGCATTCCGATTTTTTTAAAAATGTGGGATAATTTTCCTAAAGACAATAATTGAAGCATGCAGGTAAATTTAACAACAACGATAAAAATAAATAATTCATGTTCCTTCAACAAACAGAGTTAAACAAAAATAATTAATGCTAGAGTAACATCTTGTTAATGTTAGCTCTGTTCTTTCCTTCATGCCTCCCACTATCAAATAAATTGAAAGTAAAAGCTAAGAAGCATTGAACCCTTTTTCTTTTTCTTTTTAAAGTTAAAAGGAACATAATTAACAAAAGCGAAAGACGTCTAATCCATTGTTTATGATCAATAGGATTAGAAGTTCCCAAAATATGCATTCTAACATTGGCATAAAAAAGAGGAAACAGAGAAAAAAAATGGGACTATGATTTGTTGACTTGAGAAATTGAGATGGGAAGTGGGTTTTTTGCAAATTGTAATGGCGCGGAAGTTTGTCTCTGAAGAGAGGGACAAAAGATTACTTATGAGGTGCGCTTGTAATGCAAATGCACTCAAAACATTCCATCTTTTGCGCTCAGCATGCAAAGATCACCTCAACACCCCATCTCCTTATTCTGTCTGTGTTTCTTTGAAAATTTAATTGCCCCAAGAAACTTTTTATTTTAATTTACAAAAATATGCAATTTATGTTCTATGTTTTGTGGATTTGCTGCCAATGCCATTGAACCAGGAAAATTTTGTATCTCACCATATCTTGTAATTTATTAAAAATTGTAACATTTAATATTATCAATACATTGAATCTTGCAATGTTTAAGAAATATATATATAATTTGTTTTTGTGTATTGTTGAGTACACAATAAAAAGAAAAACATATTTTAAAATGTAAAATAAAATAAAGGTAACCGTAAAATTTGGATTCATCAATGTGAAAACGTTATATTATATTTCCTTTTGTCTTACCCAAGACAGATCTAGCATTTCCTCCCCCCCCCCCCCCCCCCCTCTGATGAATTTTCTGTGGGTTTTTTCAGTAAGGGATTGTTATCTGGTTATTCAAATTTGATACATTTACTTTCTTGTAGATAGAAATGAAGATTTTGACAGGAGTTTTTCTAAATTATATGCAGTATTATGAAATTTCTTCATTAAACTTTTTGGATTAATCACATGTTTTATGATGTTTGTTAATACGTGTCACATTAATTAAAAAAGTGGCAAATATTCCTTATTTAAAGTTTTGAATCCTTTTTCTTGGGCTAACTTTTAGCCGAATTAAGTCCAATCTAATTGTAAAATAGTATCAAAAAATTCCTATTAGTTGGTCCAAAAATACTCTTGGTAAAATTTGGATAATCCTTGACCGTCTTAGGTAGATTTAGAAATTGAAATTATCGAGAGTTAGATCGATCCAGTCCTATTTCTAATAATGCATTTATTCTAACGCAAACCAACGGTAAAATTAGCCACGGATGAGAACATTTCTCACTGAGAACGAGAGGAGGTATACAATTCATAAAAAGGCTTTTAACACTATTGAACATGATGAAGAGAAGAGAAGCGAATTTGCAAGTAATGTTGAAAGTGCCAAATATGAGCGAGAAATTTCATATTGAAGTAATGAGACTGAACAAATTGATCAACATATAAATAATAACAACTAGAACTCAAGTTTTTAGGTTAAATGTAGTGTGTTATCTACTTTTGAGATTTTCTCTTGATTCGTTGATAGATATTTCCCTGACTTTAATTTCGACTCCATACGTATAACATATAAGAAAATTGACCTTCAACTTCGTGAATGAATATGGCTGCCATCTCTTAAAAGCAAATGAATTTGGGTTCTCTTATTCAATTATATAGGTTATGTTTTTGGGAGAATTTGTAGTATATTAGTAGGCACTATTTGTATATCATGTGACTGCTCTTGCGTTGTTTTTTAATCATTTGTATTTTTTCTTATTTTAATTACATTCATAAATGAATCTATATATTTATTTTTGCTTTAACAAATAGATATTCACAAATTAATTACTTATATCTTCTTAGTACTTAATTTTCACGCGTATCTTCGACCAAATTAAAAACAAAAACATTCCACGCGCATCTCATTATTTCATGAATATGATTCATTAATTTCATATATATTAATGATTGCTTCAATTATATGTGATGCAAGCCTTAGCAGAGGGAGGCTGTATGATCTTTTGACAACTTTACCCAATCTTGTTATGAACGTACGTTTTAAATTTTCAATCCATGAACATTAAATTATACGGTTGAATGAGTCACCTTAGTATACATTAGAGTCAATATTTGTGTTATGCACTTTCATTTCATACTAGTCCATATCCATATATTTATAGGCTTTTGATTTTAGTTTCATACTACTTTGCTAATCATAGTTATAATTTCTTTGTTATCTACCCATTCATCTAGCTAATTATAGTACGATGAGTCTGTACTTGGCTGCTTATAGTTGTTTTTACTCTAGTTATGTGTTATATATTCTACAAATTGGTCATTTATTGATAATTGTGCCTAATTTTCTTTGGAATAGAGAACACTTATCGCATTTCTCACACAAACAAAAATTAAATTTTGATTTTGCAACTCTTTTTTCCCTCAAAGGAACATTGTTGCAACTCACAGTTGTTGCACAACTTGACTTATTCATCACAAAAATAAATAAATAAAAGACAGTTTGACCAATATAAAACAGCAGAGAATTGGAAGAGTCATACAAAAATATCTCTTCATAATAATAATGATAATATTAATATGATTTTTGTAATGTGTTTTCAAGTACACACAATAAAAAAATAATAAATAATACTTTTATTAAAAATATAAAATATAATGTTATTAATATATATCAAATTGATAAAATTTTACTCTAATAAATTGGTATAACATTAAAAAAACGATGATGATAAAGAGACAAGGACAATCCAATTATGGTGCATGGTTGATAACGCACACAAAATATCATTAGGCGATGACTGATTCTTCTCTGAAACAATCAAAGTTGAGAAGGTTTGGTATTCGCCGTATGGTACGGGATACATGCACCATCCATTACAAATGTTGGTTGGTGATTGGATTTGACGTTTGGGTTAGGTTACATGTACATACGAGGAATATGATCATATAACAAAATTTTATTTGGATTTGGAGTGATCCAATTGTACAACAGTTCCCAAACATGTTGTGCTTTCCGGGAAGGATCCCTGAGTGAGAACGTGTATTGTGCGTAGTCTCAATGCCTCGAACCCACCTTCATCCCCAAGTCAATCTCAAGTCAAGCCACAACAAACCTCTCATTGTCCCCATCACTTCGTTATCATCTTAATTAATATATGCAAATTGCACTCAATTCTTGCATTTATATATATCTATGTTGTTAGAATAATCACTGAATCACACAAAATTTAAATAAAATCCAACCATTATTGATATCTAAAAACTAGTGTAAGTAGCGATTCTTGATTAAATATATTTTGGATCTGAATTTGACAAATCCTTCATGGTTTATAAGGTGGTTCATTTGTTGAGTGTGCATGACAAACGAGTGCGGTGGATATGATTCTAAGAGTTATTTTATTTTTGAATTCGGTGGTCGGCAGGCCACGTAGTCAGTGCTCCTTATAGACATGAAACTTAGTCAACTTCAACCAACGGTGCTTCTTATAAATTAATAGTAACGTTCATATTTGTTTTCATGAAGATATTTGTGTAAATATAATTTAATTTTCCTCATTCTAATGCTCATCGACCTTATGCCATCTCTCTCACCCAAACCATGCAGGCAACAAGAACTCAATTCCCACTACTCTACCTCCACCGTTCCTCGCTTTTCCAGAGTCAATGTCAAAGATTTTATTGGCCAACCATTTTCTATTATATAGATATAAATTAACAAGAGACTTGTTAAAAAGATCAAATTTATGTGTTAGTTTATAAGTGGTGTTAATATTGTTTGTCAATTAAAATTAGTTTTATTTTTATTAAAGGTTTACATTTATGTTATTGCAAATTAATAAGATACTTGAGGAATTACAGTAAAATTACATTAGTAACATATTTTATTAATGGATTTATTCCTTAACCAGTGCTCTTTAAAGACACTTAACCTTAAATTAAATATTGCCAATATAAGCATAATTTTCACGTGTAAGAAATATTGATTTCATAAAAAGTGAACAGTCAGTTCTTTCCGTTTCTTAACTCTTAAGTATCACCTTCAGGGTCATGCGCAAGAGATTTTTATCAATTTAAGAATATACTGTAATACATCTGATTTATATAAAGCATGAACATCTAAATCAATTTTATATTACTATATTTAGAAGCAAAGCATTGATTATGAATCTAAATAGCAACAGTTCGGGCAAGTGGGATCAAATTCACGTTGTATAGAACAGTGGGCTCGAAGTAATATTTAACCCTCCCATTGTTTGAGATAATCACGCAGGGTGATGGAACTTGAAAGCAATAATTAGATTACAAATTAAGGCCCAAAACTATTTATTGCAAAATAACAAATGCAAGCGCGTCTTGATTAAGCTGTCAAATTCGCTGACCAAAAAATAAAAAAACCGTCAAATTCGTAAGACAGAAGAAGCAAAACTATTCAAGCCAATTGGTCAATCAAATATCTAACCGTTTGATTATGCTGTCAATTTCACAACACCCACGGCTTACTTGGCAGGTTATTTGATTGAATCATTCCACAACTTTGAATTTATGTAACTCAAAAAGGGAAATAATAAATATCACAAAAACTTGTGTGTAAAAAATAAATGAATTACCAAAATAATATAATGTATAACTTATCAAATGCTTATTACACCAATATTGCTATGAAAAAATTTACTAAACGTTATTTTGTTAATAAACCTCCCCACCTCCGGGTACAAAAAATCCCAATATTGTCGTCAGAAAAATATATACACTAAAGAATTATTCTACTCTATCATCATACCCCAACCAAGGATCAAAATCACATTCTGCAACTGCAATTTAAAACCTTGGACACCACCTTCTACTCTTTTACTAAATGATAATGAAACTTCAAATATAGTGCTCCAATTTGATTAGCATTACACTTGTATCATCCATAGAGCCTCGTGAAACAGACAAATCTACAAGCTTTTTACAAGCTAGCAATGGTTGAGGTTTGTTGGTTCCTACACAAAAAGGACGAGCAATATCTACTGCTTCCTGATTACTAACCTGAAATAAGAATCAGAAAGAGAAACTTGTTCACTTAATCACTCAATGCAAGAGCAACAATATATTCAAAAATAATTTTCAAAAACAAACTAATAACGTTCCTTAAGTCCTATACCTTATCCCATAATCCATCTGAAGCTAATATTAACAAGTCATGTTCAGGTTCGATTCTGAGAACTTTGGTCTCAGGTTCAGCTGTCACCCATTGCTTCAGGTGTCGATCTCCGATTCCCCTAGATACAGCCAGAGATCCCTGGACCCTCCAAACTCCGCGGCATAGATCAACATAGCCACCCTACATGACAAAATTCCAATGCTTTAAGAACCAACATATCCAAATCAAACATGAAGTTTCAATAACCACAGATAAAGGAGAAACCGAGAAAGTACTATCACAGTCAGAAACATACCAGGGTCTCAATTCTGTCCCTTTCATCTTCCCTTGAAGGTCGGTGATCAGAGGTTAGGGCCTCGGCAACACCTCCTCTGCTGATGACAGCACGGCAATCGCCGGCGTTGGACACAACTAGGTTACCGTTCCTAATCAATGCTGTTACAATGCAAGAGCCACCATGGAGATCCTCTTTCAAGAAATCTGAATCCGTGTTGAGGTAACCCCGCTTCACTGCCTCCTCAACATCGTCTTCATCTCTCAAAATCACTTCATCCAAGACATTCTTTTCTAACTTATTCGCAGCAAATTCAGCAGCTTTTGCACCTCCATGTCCATCAAATATGCCGAAAAAAGCCTGGAAGGATCATAAAACAAATTGCTTCTTGTTAGATTTTATTCCACTGTCACCCATTTAACTCATGAACAAACCATGAGAAGCAAGGGCATATTAATCAATCCTCAATTAACATCATATTCATTCAATCCTTCCCTAATTTCTGTTTGAACTATTTAATTCAAGGGTAAAAAAACCAAAATCATGCAGCCAAATATTATTGTCCCACACACTAAGGCTTTATTTCTTTACCAATAATGACGAGTTTCTTCAGAAAATCACACAAAACAGTATTAAGTTAATCAGATTTTTCCAAACGTAGCTATAACTTAACAAAATTGACAAAACCATCCAGAAAAGGTCCACAATTATTCAATTTTCTCAAACAATTAAATTTCAGGATTTAATCAGACCCAGGTCAAATTCATATATAAAGTTTCAAACTTTCCACAACCCCAGTTCCTAGAAACACCCCACAATCATAACCATCCAAACTCAAGCCCTAAAAAATCAATTTTCAAAAAGGGTAAAAAAAAGGTAAATTTTCTTACCAATTTGTGGTCTCCGCGTAGATTATCCCCGGCGGTGTAACGATCCTCCATGTACTCCCTCCTTCCCCTTTTGCAATACACAGAAAACCCATCTCCCTCAGCCTCGACGACATCACGCGCCGCCGCGGAGGGCGTGGGAGGAACCCCAAAGGTGAGAGAAGAAACAGGTATGTCAAGCCTAGCAGGTCTCTTCCTCTTCAAAACGGTGGCGTTTGGGGAGGTGGAGGGCTTAGGAAGGCGAAGGCGAAAGGGAGAGGAAGGGGAAGAAGAAGAAGAAGGGGAGGAGCAAGACGACGCCGTAGAAGAGTTGGAGGGTTTGAGATGAGAGAGAGAGAGGGAAAGAGATTCCGGTGAAGAAGAGATGATGGAAGGCTTGGTGCAGAAGAGGGAAGAAGAAGGAGAAAACACCGGCGAGTTTGAAACTGCGACGGAGCAAGACATGTTGTTCCTTGTCGCTGTTTTGTGTCTTCAGTCAAAATTCAAACGTTGGAAATGGTCTGTTTCTTTTTTTGTTTTGTGTTGTGTTTGGAGAGAGATTGATATAAGAATAAGAGAGGATGTGGCTGAGGCAGAGAGGGGTATATATATACACACAAAGGACGGAATAGAATGTTGTGTTTATTTGGGTCAGAACAGAGTCAGTGTGGGACCCTCTTATTTGCGTGTTAATTGCGAGGTACACATAACATACAGCTATCAGTTATCACATTCAGACCCAATTTTAAAACCTTCTTTGACCCTCTTTCCAGAAACGCTATTTTCCCCTTCATTTATTCTTCTTTCTTTCATCTTTGCATCTACTTCCCAAGCTTCTTTTTAATTTGCCTTTTATTCTTTTCCTTTTGTTTAAATTTTTTTGAAATAAAAAACCCAACTTTATGCATGTCAAAGTTAATTTAAGGAATATTATATAAAATGAGTTCATTAATAAATAATTGATTGACTGATGATAAATGTAAATGTAGAATTTATAAATATTCTATTATGTTTAATTTTGATTGAAAAAATTTAGTATTGATTAATGAAAATATGGAAAATAATTTTTTATTTGAAAAACTAATTAAGAAATAAATAAATTTGATTTGATTTATAAAAAAGTATTTTACTATAATTAAAATGTATGACCAATACTTAATTAAAAATATATATATTTGAAAGAAAGAAAATATAACTACAACTGATAATATTATTGAAAGAAAGTAATCTATTTTTGTTTCATTATAATATTAGAGAGATAAATATAAGGTTTAAACGTAAATTATCATGCACACGATAAAATCTACAGAGTATAGACGAAAAAGAAAAGCATAAATAAAGTGTTAAATTTTGAGTAGGAATTCCATTTCATGAAAATTGTGTTTGAATTGTGAAGCAAGACATAGCAATTGCTTGAATTATGACGGAGTTGACAGCGTTAAACGGAATTAAAATCTCATTTGAATGTTGACTCTAACGTGTATCTTATTAAACACATTAGTGGATAAGAATGTAATTTGAGGTGCCAATCAGTGTGGGAGAGCAAGGCTGGTCCAAGTTTTAAGAATTGAAGGGAAAAAATGGTAAAAATTATTTCAATTTGTTTTTTTTTTTAATTTAAGTCATTCACGAGTTATTTTAAATATTTGGAGAGATAATTTTGTTGCTTATTATGATTTTATCTTATTTTAACAGAATTATCTCTAATAAAAACATGCTTTTGTCTATAAAAAATAAAGTTTTTGTAATATTGTAAAATTTTTAATAAATATATTAATTACGTAAATGAACAGAGGCAGAGTGCGGTGTTGGACTGGGTAGGGAGGAAGGAATTGAAAAGAAAAGAAAATTAAAAAAAAAAAGTGTAATTGAATAAATGGTTTTGGTGCGTTGAAAGAGCGTATTTTGATTAGAGGTTTGACTTAAGCAGTGGAGAGAGTGTGGGGCCCAGCATGTGATTGAGAGAAGCAGGTTCTGAGAAGTTACCGTTGGGAAGGGAAGAGAGAGTGAGAGACACACACAATCTTTTTTTTTTTTTTAATTTGGAATGATGACCGTTGCCACCTCTCTTCTCACGTCCACATTCCCAACGTTAACTCATTTTTCATTACGTCTTTTTAACTCTTTTTCTTTCTCATTCATTAACTTGCAACCTACTACTTCATCTCCAACTTCCAACGTCAATTATTCAAGTTTCAGATTTTTTTAAATTATTGATAAATAAAAATAAAAAAATTATAATTTTTAAAATAATTTATTATAGGTTATTTAAAGTAGTATTTAGTTTATTAAAAATAAGCAATCAATTTCTTTTCATTTTTCTAATTTTTAAACAGTTTATAATCAATCATATGAACTACAAATTTTCAGTTAATTTATTAATTATAAAAATCATTATTTTTTAAATTTTTATTATATGCCCTTCATGACAGAATCATTTTATAGTTTGTAACAGTAACACAATTAGGTGCTCTGATTCAAATGACAGGCTGTTACTGTCAACTATATATGTTTCTTTATTGATGGTGATTAAGAACTTGCATTAAGTTCTGCTTCCTTGTACTACTAGTCTAGTCTATGTTCTCTACAAGCATTGCCATCTTCAACAACCATTCTAACGTTGGACGAAACTTATGTTCTATCGTCTAATGGCTTTAGTGCTTTGTTTGGTAAAAGAATAAAGTTTATTTACTTACCATTCATGTACAGTAAAAGAAACATATGAAATGAATAGAGTGAATAATCACCACGTGAGTGATAAGAAAAATCAAATAAAAGAGTCAATATATGTATATATATAATCCCATAGTTGCATTGAAATATTTTATTAATTTTTATATGAATTTTATAATAATTTTTTATTATCATTTAGGCAATTCTCCTCTTCAACCATATAACTTTTGAAAATTGACTAAATAGATTTTACAAGTTACCTTACATTTTCATATGTCATCAGCACTTATTTAAATTTTAACTAAAAACTATTAACTTATTTTCTTTTAATTTTGTACATAATAAAAAATAAAAAAAAAATATATAATGTTTTTGGGATCCAATTATAAATTGTTACATAAAAAAAAAAACAAGTTATACTAATTGATTTTTAAAAAAAAGATAATATAATAAAATACATGATATTATGAAATTAAGATTATATTTAATTTTAGTTATTTCACTTGTATGTGTTATGTCGTGTGCAATGCAATTTCATTTTTTGAAATTTAGATGTTGTAACCTCTAATGCCAGTGTCTGTAAGCATGGCATTATGCGAGGAATGATGTGCTTCTGTGCTAGAGAATGGAAGACGTAGAAGAAGAGGAAGATGTTATTAAAATTATTAATATGTTTTTGGATAAATTTAATATGTATCATCGGTTTTCTATCTTATATTTTTAATCATTCGATTTCAATTAGTGGTCCACAATGCATAGAAGTGAATGGGAGAATTGTATAATCAATCGGTTAACACATGTCAATTTTGTCATAATAGCATAGCACTCAACTTGGCATTTTGGAAAGAAGTTTCATTTATTTTCCTCCTGTGCCTTTGTTTTTTGCTCTCTTTTTTTTTCACTCGTTGAGTGAATCAAAGTAGGCAACGTAAGGGTGTGTTTGCAACTTGTTGACATATTTAGGTTAGAAACATCCCCGTGCATAAATTTTCTTTCTTTCTTAACAACCTTCAAAATGTTTTTGTGTTCTATTTCAGTTCATCTTTCAATAATTACCATGCATTCTCGAACTTGAACTTATCACCTGCATTGTTGGAAAAAAAATTGGAATCAAGGAATTGAACCCTTAAATAATCCAAGATAAAAATTCAAATAAAAAAAAAAAAGACACTGAAGGGTGGGTGATTATGAGAAAGCGACATAGGCAGCAAACGCTCATAGCATTAATGTCACGGAAGCATAAAGTCCAAAAAAAAGCCTCATAGCAAGGTGGAGAGCAACAGGGCTGAGCCTTAAACTGCCGAGTAAAAACTGGAACAGTGAGTATCCCTTAAATACAAATGTCAAGGAACAAGTCCCCTACATGGACAAGACAAACAAGGACACATTTCTAAGAACAGAGACATGACACCTCCAGAAATGACAAGAGGAAGGCCAAGTTGCAAGGGATGCCACACCTAGAAATGAAAAAGGATACCAAGGGAAATGATGAACTATATAAGAAACAAAAGATAATAATAGGAGGCTTTTCCCCTATAAGTTATGTACTTTGGAGGTTCAAGGACCCTCCACAAAGAGTAGAGAAAAGAATGTAGGAACTCTATAGGGGATTTCTTCTAAAGAGACCTTCTACGAGTGTGTTTCCTTAGCTCAAAGACTCAAAAGCATGAAATAGAAACAAAAAACGAGACTTCCTAACTTACGAACGCTATAAAGAACAAAAAAGCGTATTCAAATGAGACATTCCTTCCTTGGTGAGTGAAGTGAAGAAAACGCTTTAGCAAACAATAACTCATGGACGGTATTTAGTTTGGAGGGATTTTAGCACGTTTTACTCTCGTAGAGGTTTTCTACACCTCGAAAAAGAAGTAATAATTATCTTTATACATAATTTGCATCTTGAGGTATTAATCATTCTTGTAAAAAGAACATATGTTAAGAGAATGAGATCAAAAAAGTATATGTTACGTTTAAAAGAGTATCTGTTACATCATAAACTCTTTTTTTTTTTTTAATATTTCGTAAGCTTACGAGCCCAACTTTTATACGTTATTTTTTTTCTGAAAAACCTACCTATAGTATGTTCAATTTATGATATCGAGACTTTAATTGAATCATTTATCTTTCTCACAAATAGTCACATGCTAACTGTACTTGTCTTTAATTTTCAACCAAAATCCATATGCTTCTTCATCAACTTGTACAATTGCATCTTTTGAAACGTTGAGTCATGATTGAATAACAAGTTTCTCTTCCTTCACAGTAAACCTTGCTTTAGATTTTCTTACTCGAGCCTTGTTCCCTTTAAGCATGATATTTTCTACATCCACTTAAGTGAAAAATGGTGAGACTTGAAACTTAGACATGAACTTGATTCCAGTTTTGAGTTCCTTATCAATGAATTGCACACTACTAGTACCCATTGAAATTTCATCCAACATGAACATTGATAATTCAATTGGGCTATCTACTCTTCTTCAACCGTTATATAAATGAAATTCTAATTGATGGTCTCCATTAAGTTAAACTTAAATGTCGATGTTTTCACGATAGAAAGATTAATGTTAAAAATACTAAAAAACATAAATTATTTTTCTTTGTTAGATTGAATCCGATTTGGAATCCAATTTTAGAAGTTCAATTCCATCAGAATCAAAATACAAAGTTAACTTCCCACATATACTTATACAATTATAGATTCATGAAGTTGTAATACTTAACTATTTTTTATAATTTTATTTGGAAATGAATTTTATTCTCAATTTTTATGTATAACTTGAGTATTAATTTTTAAAATTAAGTATTTTTAGGTAAATTTTGTAAACCAAATAGAATTTTTAAAGGTTCTTTATTTTTTGGTCATTTTGAGATTTTTTTTACATTAATAATTAATAAATTATTTTAAAATTTAATACTAATTTAACTTTTCAATTCTTGTCTATTTTTTTAAAAAAAATTGGTTTTGATATTAAAAATTTATAATTTTATACTATAGAATATATTTTTAAATTATTATAATATTGATTCTTTTTAATTTCACGAAACTTATGAAATCGAAATAAACACAAAATATTTTTTTAATTAGATTATAATATAATAATATCATTACTGTACACAAGATCATTACTAGTTTTAATATGTTTAAAATTTTATTTATTTTTTAAGATTATTCGTGTGTATCTTTTTCTGTACATTTTATTTTTCTGATAAAAATCATAAAAAAAAAACTTTAGTTATTACCTTTTAACCAAAGTAAAAAAAAAATTATAAAAATAATTTATACGATATAATTCAAATTGCTTTTAATTGAATTAGATCAAATTATATTTTTTTATTCAAACAAAAACAAAACACAATGTTTTTATAATCTAAACAAATGACTTTTTTCCCTCTTAAAATCAATCTATCTAATTCACAAATACCAGAAATACTTTCATCAACGATTCGTATAAATTGAAGTGTCTAGCAATCTTCCCTGTAAGGAACCCTTTTGTTGAAGTAGAGATTAATTCTCAAAAATGTCATTAAAGTTCATTTAAATATATAACTATAACAAAGTATTTAATAAAATTTTAAAATAATAACTTAACTATGAATTTAAGTATTTAGTTTATTAAAATAAAGCAAAAAAAAAAAAAACTTATTTTTGCTTTTGTCAGAGATTTAGACTTTAATGAATGACGTTTGATATGTCTAGAGACGCTGTCATTTGGACGAAATGTCCAATATCCATTTTTTCGGTCGTCCATAGTATTAGATAAAGAGACCCCAACAGGCGGAAGCTACACAACATCTACTAAGCCCAACATGTACTAATGGAAATGTTTATTTCAAACGTATGACCATGTTTTTAATATTAGATCTTCAAAACATGGAATTTCATCTTTTAATGTATAGTACAATCCATTTAAAATTTTAAATATATTATTATTTTAAATTACATTACTAACAAAGTCTGCAGATTGCATTAATATTAACATAAAAAAATCGAAATCTCATATTTTTATATATTTTAAAAATATATATTAGAACAAAAAGTTATTAGATAGTTATGTAATTGGATCTCCTCTTTAATAATAACATTCTCATTACAATTTTAATGATTTATTATCATTTTTTAATTTTAATAGATTAAATGATATTAAAAAATACGCACTCTCATCTATTTTCAGTCCCCACCGCAAAGAGACAACCATAGTTTCAAATTACTACTAAAAACTAGGCACATCATCAGCATGGAAAATTCATTCTCATCCACAGCAATGTTTGCTGTGTAGGAAGGTGTCCTAAGATTTTTCCAATTTCATCACATGATGCAAGATAAAGCAACAGAGTGTGTCAACACACTAACCCCAATCAACAGATAACTGGATCGATTGACATGTTCCTAAAGCTATACGTACGTTGGCCTATTACCTAATAATTAAACATATTTATGACAGCACAGATACTCGTAGATTCAGAAGCATAGAAAATTGTCTGCCATCACTCGTTATTATATCAGATCAAGTGTTGGATTATATATTCTGCTTCATCCTAACCCACCAACTATCACAGTACACCAAACAAACATGGAACTCAAGCTGCTATAACCACCAAGAAAACTCAGATTTAAAACCTCAATTTGAGAACTCAATCCACTGATATCAAACAACCTCAACCCTGTTTCATTATAAAGACTTTCAAATTCAAAACAAATAATTCAGAACACCCAAAAAGGATGAATTTTGTTCCCCGACGTCCAAATGTAGCATCAAAATTGCAACGGAGGATAGCGAGGGGAACACACTTTTCGGCCTCAATTAAACATTGCCAAACACATTGAAAAAAGTGCAAGCAAAAATCTAAAAGAAATATGAAGCCTTTTCAAATATTAACGCCCAATTAAAAGAATACATGCGGAAGAAAAACAATCAACAAAAGAAGACCTTTTGCCCACATAAATGAGATAAACTATGCACGAAACCATCAACAACTAAGTGCAAAGATTTAAAAAGTAGGGAAAAGCATCAAACAACTCAGTCCCTTAGATGTTCAATTAATGTTTGCGATCATACCCGCAAATCATTACAGGTCTGTAGGCTCATCACAGTTGAAAAATACTAAAACCCCAGAAACCCAATTCACGAAAAAACGCAAACCCATAAAAGAAAATGGTAAATTTGAGAGGAAATTCCATGTAGTTGCTCCAGTGTTCTCCCAAAAGCAACACAGAAAAAAGGGGGTTGCGGGAGAGATATGAAAGAACAACACAAATCACTATTGCTTCAAGGGAACGAGTCGAATGGGAATCGAGTTATTCCGCATCGACCAGATAGTGAAGCGGAAAGCGCATTTCAAATTCAAAGCTACACAGATTCTAAGGTGAAAGTTCAGAAACCCTAATTTCCTATGCTGAAGCTAAGAAGAAGAGACGGCGCAAGAGATGTATTTCGCTGTGTCACTTTATAGAATGTATAGCGGATTGATCGGACGCCAATTATCAGATCCTAGTGATCCAACGGTTCGTATGATTTTCAGAAAAAATGGTTGGTTACCTAGGTTAAGTAAAACCCTAACTAGCGCAACCCAAGCCCAGAGAAATGAACCACTATTTCTAAACAACAGAATTGAAAGTTGAGACTGACTTTTTAAAAAATTATTAATTATTTTTATAAATTACAAAAATATCATTGAATTCAGTTATTTTTAAAAATAATTAATTAAAATTAAATTACATAACCATTTAAAATTTTATAATTGTTACAGATTTAAAGAAGTAAATTTTATAATTGTTATTATATTAAATAAAATTTTAAAAAATCACTTAATAAAAATGTCATTTGTAAAAAAACATTGTTTGAAAATAATTATAAAATTTATTTCGTTTTTAAAAATATTTTAATTCAAATATTAATGCTCATAATTTATATACTGAAGTTATTAAAAAAGTTTGAATTCTTGAATGGAAAAACTCTAACCTTTTGACTGTAAATGGTGTATGTTATTTTTGAGTCACGTGTGTGCGAATATAAACAAAATTCAATAAATTTTAAAATTATAAATTAAGATGTATATTATTGAAAATTGAAAATGATACGAAAATATATATATATATATATATATATATATATATCTAATTGATAATAGTTTAAAAGTATAAAGTATGTGATTTACTTAAAAAAATTCAAATTACAAAAATAAAAAGTTAAGTAATGAATATAATTTTTGAATTAAAAAATCAATATGCCTTTAAAAAAAAAATCTCTTTTTCTTTGACAGTTTGGTATAGAAAATCTCGTATTGCTTTCCTAGGAATGAGATTCTTAGAAATAGAAAATTTGTCATTTTTTGTAAAACGTTTGAATATTCAATTTTTTAGCATAATATTTTTTTTACTCTCAATTATCACAAAATATTTTATTTCTATCAATGAAGATGAATTTTTTTTATCTTTTATTATTTATAAATAAAATTTTAAATATTTTTTATATCTAGAAGTATTTTTATTCTCTTTTATTCCTATGTCATATTTTTAAGAATTTTAAAACATTCCTTATACTAAACCCGACATATAATGTAGGAATGTGACTTTAGGTTAAAATATTGTCAATGAACGAAAATTTGCTGAAAGAGTTGACATAATCATAATGTGAATGTTTACGATTTAAGTAAGATTGTTTGTTATAAAGCATACAAGTTATTTAGACACAAATATAAAAAATTACCACCTATAAGTGAAGCTAAAGACTAACCTTTGAGTAAGAGGTAAATATATTTTTATTTAATATATAAATTTAGATTACTTGACAATATTTGGATAGCGTATTTAAAAATTATTTTAATTCATGTATTTAGATAATAAAAAAAAATAATGTTAAAAAATATTCTATAAATCCGCAGCAATGTAGTTGGGCTAAGCGGGCTCCAGAACTTGTTGGCCCAATAAGATACGAGTTCTTAGACCAGAAAAAAAATTCAGATATTGCATTGCATGTTTTAGCTTGTGTCTTTTTTTATTGGATTGGGTTTTGTTCTTAGATTGCATTTTTTTTTTTTGTCAAAAACGAAACTTCTATCCTACATAAATAATACAAATAGTATACTAATTAATAATTGGACAAAATCTCGGTGCTATTTTAGGGTATTTTTTGTTATGTTTTAGGTAATATTGAAACAAATTATTGAATAAAATTTTAATTTTAACTGGAGAATAACATAAAAATATCTAAATAGTTATACTTATGCTTGGCTCTTAGTAGTTTTTCAATAACTACAGTCTTAATTAAAACATTTATAAATAAGATTTGATCAATTTTAATATGGAAATCATTTAATTTGATTAAAAAATTTACTCTAAATTGGACATAAAATCAAACCCAATTCAATCCAACTAATGCAATTTAAATGAATAGTTCAATTTTAAAATAAGTAATTCAGAATTAAATATATTGTTAAAATTAAATAAATCCAACAGTACATAATCCTAATTTTTAAACAAATACTAAAATATTTCTTAAAAATATCTCGAACATATAATTCTCAAACAAACTTTAGAATAAAAGTCTTCCAAATTTAACACTTTTTCTTTTCGAATTAGTTAGTTAGAAGGTACATAAACTATTTTATTTTCTCTTTTATAATTAAAACATTATTATAAAAATAACTATAAAAAACTATGAGACACAAAAATAACTTTAAATTAATCCAAAATGACAAAATCATAAATTAAAATAATAAGATAAATTCCTAAAAAAAGAAGCTACAATTTTGAATATACACTTATAAAAAATTTAATTACCATAATTTTATAAATATCGGTGAATCATTATAAACATATAGACAAAAGCTTAATTTATATCTCATTGATTTAAAAATTTGACCTAAAATTCAATCTAATTTAATGAAAAAAATGATTTTTATAGTTTTTTATTTATTTTTTACTTTAAATTTCAAATAATTTTATACTTTATATTACATTAAATCCAAATATTTATAAATATAAGTACTAATAAGTTGAACTCGAGGGTGAGAATAAGAGAGGTGAGATAAACCTTTATGGAAACTGGAAAGGATGTCGGGAACATGTTGAATTTGAGGGGCTTAAGTGGCTTACAAGATCCCAAATCGAAATTTATGATATCATATATCGTAATGAAGATGAAAATGACCCTTAAATTCAAATATATGCGATATGACATCATAATGAAATAATAAAAAATATATAAAGCATCAGTATTATATTATTATACTTCATAAAAAAACAAGAGCATCAATTGATTCTGACGTCACAAGAATCAATTGAAGCATGGAATATAAAACAATAAAGCATAAAACTTTACGTACCGGTTTCAATAAATTATTTGTCCAAAAGAGAATACTCAAATGTAAAATTTACTTCTATCTTATAATTTAAGTTCTTGCAATAAAAGTTCTACACTGATGGCAAAAGATCAAAATCATGTGGGAAAATGAGTGTTGAGTAATTTGGTCCATGAAATTTTAAAATGAGTGTTAATTTTTTTACTTTGTCAAATGTAGAATATCTAAATCTAATTAACAATTTTTGTAATTAAGTAACACATGACACAGTCTTAAAAGACTAATTTAATTGATATACATCATTACTGCTGCATTTATCTATTTCATTATTGCTGCTATCATCCAAAACTCTCTTTCTTTCATACTTATGAACCCTACACATCCCACACTCTCTTCTTGACTTTGCACATTTTCATTCCTTTCATAACTTCCTCAATCTCATCATAATTAATATCACTGCCATGAAACTTATTGTCATTGTTACTATTACTGGTAATGTTGTGGTGGTGAAAGGCAGAAATACAGCGTTTTTACCATCTTAACATGCATGTTAGAGGTATGAGAGTAGAAGGACTGGAGGGTGACGTCAACGGTGGTGCAAGCATTTGGTAGATTTCACTACTTGAGACTCTAATAAAAGAGAGAACATCAACTAGAAGGAGAAATGATTTTCAAAAGGAGAGTAGTAGATAAAATGGTGAAAGAAGTCAAGGACAACTGACAAGCAAGCTGGTTCTTACATTTGTGAAAATTTAATATTAAATATAAAATAAATATTTAACTTAAAAAATCACTTAAAATGGTGAAAGATAAAATTACCTCTAAAAGAACTTCTATTTAAAAATATATCTAAAATATAAAACAGTAGATTTTTTGTATTTTGTATGAATGCATTAAGTATAAAATATGAAAATTATAATAAAAATGCTGATGGCAATATTAATTTAATTGGTAGAAGATTATTTTTACACTCCAATATGTAAACAATCTTAATTATACGCAGAAGTGCGAAAACATTTTTGGTGGTACAAGTGTGATAGCTTCCTTTCATTTGACAACGATGGTGACCAAACCAATTTGATGCCTTTTGTTGTTGATTTGAAATTGATGATGAGGGGTTTGTCGATTTTTTTCGGTGCATATGGATAAGGATCCTATGATCTTGTTATGGGTGGTAATGCAATGCAATATGCAAAGAAGGGTTGAAGAATGGGATTCACCTGAAACAATATTTTCACCGTAAGAATTGTGCAGAGGCGGCTCAAGAGCTTTTAGCCTAAAGTAAATTTAAAAATAGACTTTTTTATTAATAAAATAATTTTTTAAATTATTATAATTTTATTTAAAATTTATTTTTAAATTTTTATTTAAAATTATTATAATTTTATTTAAAATAAGACCAAATTAAAATAATAAAACCTGATTGTCAAAAAAATAAATTTGACACTTACAATCTTTACACCTCTAAGAGTGACAGCTTTGTAAAGAAACTACGAAATACTATTTGATAGGTGTGAGTAATGAAGGCTGAGTAGTGAAGAAAAGATTCTTGTACGAATGTGCC